TTCCCCTTCTCTTTCTAATAAATACCCCTTGCCTTCACCTCCTACTGGAAACACAAATTGGGTTTCAGCCTGAATCAGTACTTCCTGAATAGCTATTCTTTTGTATCTCAAATAAAGACTTGTTGCCTTTCGCACCGGCCTTTTATTTTTAGGTTAGCACATCATAAATAGGCATATATCCAATATGGCTGCAACTCTCACATTTCTGACCAAGGCATTACTGATATACAATAACGATACATAGTGCACTTCCAAACAAAACAAAACAAAACAAAACAAAAACAAATAAAACGCTGCTGGAGGCAAAAAGCAAACAAACAAAACAACCCTGCAGCTTTATAAGATAGCTGTGTAAAAAACACCAGTGCTCTCAGATCACAGTGCAGTGACTTTTACTGCACCCCATAATGAATGCTCCAAAAGGGTGAGAGAATTTGTAGAGATCTTGTCTAGGCACTCCCCAGGATCCTCAGAGTTCAAAGTAGTAAACTCTACTGCCACTAAACTCCACCCAAGCCTACCTTGTATAATCTTCAGTAGAGTCCACCTGCATCCTTCTTACTACTGCCCTGAACCAGACTTGTCCTCTCATTGCTGCTCCCCTTCATTTCAAAGCATTTTCACTCAGTTCTCTAGAGAGGTACTCCACTATCTTTAAAAGTCCCTACATTCTCAGCCTCAGAGAACACTCACTCCTTCACCTGCCTAGTCCTACCTAGAATCTGGCTCCATCTACAGGACAACAGGTGCATTGCAGCCCTTTCAGAATCTGAAAGGAAGAGTCTAAATTTTCCTAAACCCTGTTGTTACTTCTATACAGCGCATCCACTTGCATGTGAAAAACCTTTCTCTTTCATGGAAGAGATTCTAAAATCTATCACTTCTATCTTATTTCCAGCCACTCCTCACCCTCCTCCCTTCCCCACGCCCAGCACAGAAGTCCCTATACCAGTGCTATACAAAATGCTGTTCATTAATCGCCTTCTTTTTGAAACTGGTACTCAAGAAAATAACTACAGATATTGAAAGTAAACATTTAGAGCTTCACAACAATTTGACATGAGTGGTTTTTCTCTGTGAACAAGCTGTTGTTGGACTCATATGGTGAAGCACAGGGGTTCTGGCTATATCCACATAGGGGTCCTGTCTTTCTCTACCAAAAGTTTTGCC